CCGGGTCTAACTTTCGACTCGGAGCCGCACGCCACAACACACTGGGAATAGCATTCCACCACAACGTTTAAACACTAAATCCGAAATCTCCATTTACGAACTGAAAACTATCGCGAAGCGAACTGTAAACTTAAATGGGATAAATTTCAAGTCGCTATTATACGAATACGTTACGAAACGGTCACGGGCAGTGTTCACGGATTCATTACAGCGCCGACAAAGGGCAAAGTTGCGACCACCTGTACCGAGTTCGCGAACTATTTGCAACAATTCAGTAGAATGTTCCGACAATAACTAACAACAATGTAGCGACAAGCCGAGTGGCAAGTTTCGGCATGACGGCCAACTCCACGCACGTCAAACTTCCCGCGCAAATATTTATTGCCGTTGTTGTAACTATAAAATATTTATTTGATGTTTTCTGTAAGTGTATTGTTATGTGTTGCTGCTATGATGGTGTAGTGGGAGAAACGAGATTGTTTTAGGAGAAAACTTTTTGATGACAGGCATGTTTATTTGGGTGTATTCAATGTTATGTTAGCGATACCAGATACAAAGTAAGTTGTATTGGGTATTGGATAAATGGGAGTGGCTGTAAACCAGCGCTGTGCAGCTGCACACATTGCACTGGGACACTCGCAGCATCAGCTGAGCCAATTCCTTTTGCCTGAAATGAGTCACTTCTTATATATAATATTAATGTATTTTCTGGTAATAAATATTTTATCTTTTCATTTAAGAGTTTCCTCTTGTCGGTGCAACTAATTCATACAAATATTTTATATTATATTCTAAATATACTAAGTAAAATTGATTTATATAACTTTACGACGTTCCACAAGAAACAACACAATCTCATTTTTTTAAATTTCATACAAATTTTATCAAGTAATTAAAAAAATTAGTATGAAATTAACTTTAAGGACTTCGATTTCGATTCTTATGGGGTGTTGTTTAGTTTCGTGAATACTGTTACTGGGTTTCAATTTAACCCTACCAATTACATCTAATACTACATAGGTACTAACATTGGTAGTTTCCAGAAAGAATACAATATCACTTTATGTTAGTTTCGTCTCCCCATACTTTTAAGTTGGATCATAGACATTCCTTGGTGTTCTGATAATCCTGACAATTTAAGTTCGATGAAAAAATTTTGCAAGTAAATAATACACATACACTACATAGTATATTTAAAATATGTGCAAACGACGCCAAAGTTTGGAATTAACTAAATTCACTTCGGTACGACCGAAGTGAATTTAGTTAATTCCTTCGGTTATATATAATAAAACCCTTAAAATTGCATACAACAATGCACACATGTTATGCAAGTATATATATATTTTTATACAACTTAGAATAGCAAACAAGCTGACGGCACACTTGATGAGAAGTGGTAACCGTCGCTTATAGACATGAGCAGTACCATAGACATAACAGAGTATACTGTTTCGCCCATGATACCCCCCATGCGTTGTCATGTCCTGAGGATTCAGGTGTTATTCCTCTGTACCCAGTAAATTCACGCCATATCCCATCCTTCAAACCGAAACACAGCCATGCAAACGCAACTGCTTCACGGTAGAAACACGAATGGGACAGAGGTGTCCAAGCAAACGACTTTTGTCTCCCTCTGGTGAATTTGCTAATATAAAGGAATATTTTGTCCATGAAAGTAAAGTCCATCGTCGTTATGGAGGCTATATCTTTAGGCTTTAAACTTAGATTTACATCTTATAAATACAATTAAACATGTTAATTTATCCAAAGAGTAAAGATTTCATCATTAAATCTAACAGCGCTCATTTTAAATTACTAGTTCATATCGTATAACTAATTGTCGGGAGCGTTAATTCACGGGTTTAATCCAAGAAAATGTTAAAGGAATTTTTAAAATCAACCCGAGCTCGATCTTTATTAAAGTGGGAACATAAAAGAGGCAATAAGAACTGTAAAAGTCCAGCAGTGAATGCGAGCGCCGTGGCGCGCGGAGGCGACGCTTCTGTAGGACGGCTTGCTAGCTATTGGTCTATTCTTTTGTTGCTTGGAACTAAAAGCAAACCTTTACTACAGTAACAGTGATACTAGCTTGATTAAAATGTCACTACTGGGCAGATTTGATTTATAAAATCAAATTGTCACCAAAAGATTATAATGATTAAGATCCTAGACAAGTGACAAATATATCGAGAGACAGGTCTTCATTGGTGCTGGCGTGAGAAGGAACCATGTTATTTTTCTTATCTTGCTAAATATTTCATGTATGCAATAGCGTATCTATAGACACTGTGGGCGAAAGGACTGTATGTTGGTATAGAAACATAGTGTATTTAGGAAAGATAATATAATCATAAAAAAATATATATATATATAAAGCAAACCAAAGAAGCAAGACAGCGTTCGAACAAACAAAATAATCTGAGAATAACTTCAGGTACAAGTTAACATACTGTTTGCAAAAAAATATTCACAAAATCCTTTTAATATTCGACGGGGACGTTAGCTTTAAAGTCAGTCAATAAACGCAGCCACCATCTCCCGGCAGTTCACAGAGTGAGGCGAGACGGGGACGCTATGATGTATAGCGCTAGAGGATTCACTCCAAATCCGGAGCCCCTCACGTCCCGACCATCGGTCTCCTTAAAATATGACAGCGATGTAATACGAGCGTCGCTCGCTAAAGCCCAAACTCGATGAAGGAAATATTGCCCGCGCCTGACGATCCAGCGTGGACGGGGGGGGGGACGCGGGCTATATGTATATATTGTACTAGCGGCCCGTCCCGTTTTCACACGGGTGGTCATTTTTACAACATTTAAAAAAGTGATTATTGTGATATAACGATAATAGTTGGACATATAATATCGCGAAGTTTTTTGTTGTTATTGATATTTTCTTCAATATTGTAAAACATACTTTTACGAAAGATATTTTATAGCATTTTTTTTACACCTTGAGTTACGTTACTAAAGTTTTAGTAAGGATGTCTAATCTTTTCTAGAAATAAATATATTACTCAGGGTGAATGTAGCTTTCTAATCGTGAAAGAATTTTTGAAATCGACAAAGTAGTTTTTGAGTTTATTCATTACAAAGATACACACAAAAATACAAATCTATCCTCTTTATAATATTAGTGTACATATAGACATAACATATATAGACATAGACATGTTCATAGCCACTGCTGTGTAGTTCATAGCCATGGTCGAACTTTTAATTCGATGCATTAAACTGACATAAGCTAATGTCACTTCCAAAAATAATGTTGCCACACTTAACTTAGCAGTGATGGCTTCATTCATTTAAAAACAAACTATTTTTACTAGCGTAACCCTATTAAGTTATAATTCTATAAGTAATGTATAATTATTACTATATTCATTACAATAAAAACAACACAAGAAAAAACCTACCTATCTTGTTCATTTTTTTATTTATGCCCATAAATAAAAAAATAATAACACAAATAACATTTATCAGAGGGAGACTTTGTACAAAAGTCGTTTGCTTGTACACCTCTGTCCTATTCGTGTTTCTACCGTGAAGCAGTTGTGTTTGCATGACTGTGTTTCGGTTTGACAAGTGGGATATGGCGTGAATTTACAGGGTACAGAGGAATAACACCTGAGTTCGCCGGAATGGCAACGCATGGGCGGTATCATGAGCGAAACAGTATACTCTGTTAAGTCCATGGTACTGCTCATGTCTATAGCCGACTGTTACCACTTTTCATCAGGTTGGCAGTCAGCTTGGCAATTCTAAGTTGGATGGGACTTATCTCAAAATATACCCTTTTAGATAAAAAAAAAATCAAAGCAACATGCAACAAACATAAAAAAATATATAATCGTATTGAAAATCTCCTCCTTTCTGAAGTCGGTTAAAAAATGCCAAGAAAACGTAGACACCCCGATTGCAATAGACTGTAAATTTACCTTTAGGATTATTCGATCCCTTATAAATGTTTAGATGGCTCTTCATACAGGGAAGCCTTAAGGATACCATTGAAAGTTGGATAAAAGAGTCCCGTCGTTATTCAGAACATAATATTTGTTACCAACTTGCTTCTCACACGAGTTCCGTAGGATTTAGCCACTCGTTTCTTGTTATGTTCTTAACTGTTGTTTTGCTGGAAACAAGATAAATGCTTTATATAGTTTTTTTTTTTTATACAATTTAGAATGGCAAATTAGCTGACGGCCCACTTGATGGAAAGTGGCAACCGTCGCTTATAGACATGAGCAGTACTATGGACATAGCAGATTATACTGTTTCGCCCATGATACCCTCTATGCATTGCCGTTCCTGAGGACTCAGTTGTTATTCCTCTGTACCCAGTAAATTCACTGCCATATCCCACCTTTCAAATCGAAACACAGCCATGCAAACACAACTGCTTCACGGCTGAAACACGAATGGGACAGAGGTACCCAAGCAATCGACTTTTGTACAAAGTCTTCCTCTGGTATGTATAGATATGTATAGACAATTAACACAAAATAAATAAAACATTGTTACATTAAAACAAAACATATAGGTACAAATACAATTAAATTAATCGATTTAAAAAAAAAGGAGGTTCTTCTCAATTCATTGGCTTTTTTTTTTAAGTTGGTTACCGATTTGGAGAATTCTTCTTTTATCTAAAAGGGTACATTTACAGATAGGTCTTATAGAATCTTTATCAAAGTCGGTTTAATAGTTTAATTTTGAATTCGAAATAACTGGTTTTGTTAGAATTGAAGCAGGTTTTTTGTGGAACATAATCTTTAATACTGACTAAATCCATACAAACTTTCAACCCAAGGTTTATCTCCTTAGGGTTTAAATTGTCTAAATTCCTTTTTTACCTATGCTATTTACAAAATTCGAAGATGCTAAATTCAGCAATTCCATCTGTGCGTTGGTATACGAGTCAGTTAGTTAGTCAGTAAGTATTCTCTTTATTTGAACATAGATTTATTTTTTAATTGAATAAAGTGCACATGATTGCAGGCGGACCTGTCGTGCCGGAACACCAAGCAGCAGGTGGGCGCGCTGTTCACGCGCAGCAACTTCGTGACCCTCAAGTATGTCACCGACAACTGGGGCACTGACGCCAACGGGTTCAAGCTCGTCATCACCGCCGTCAAGGATCCCAGTAAGTACACTTGGTCTCTTCTTCTTCTCTTCTTTTTTAATTTATTTATTTAATTATTTTTTTATTTTAATTAATTAATTTAATTCAACAGCTTAATACGGTTATTGAGTTACAGTTACAGTTGTTTATATATATATATATATATATATATATATATATATATATATATATATATATATATATATATATATATATATATATATATATATATATATATATGTTATTCCTCTGTACCCTGTAAATTCACTGCCATATCCCACCCTTCAAACCGAAACACAGCCATGCAAACAACTGCTTTACGGTAGAAACAAGAATGGGACAGAGGTACACAAGCAAACGACTTTTGTACAAAGTCTCCCTCTGGTTAATATATTTATTATAGTTTATATTCAGAGTATAAGAAATTATATTTAAACTTTTAGGTTGTATTTAATAATTTATCTCTATTGTTTATAATTGAAACAGTAATAAAATATTCGTAAATTACTTGTATACATAAAGTTCTCTTGTAATAGCTTTAATTCTTTGTGAGAATTACTCATACTGTTTATTCAGAGATCCCAGATGGCCCATTAAGTATTGGACTTTTATTTAAATGTAAAAGTTTATATACTCTTTTATCACTACGAGAGAGATCTTTCACCTTTGAATTTTCTAATCCTAACATAAATTTTAGCTTTATAGAATCTTTAAGAATAAATCTTTAAAAAACAGAAACCCTGTCCCGTTGTTTCGCTCGAATAAATCAGTAATTTATTTCTTTATTTCTTTTAAAGAAAACCAACAAAGCATACATTTATATCAACATAAAATACATGATAAAATAGAGTTAAAATAATCTATAACTTATGCATTTATTTTTACTAATGTTGTAAATGAAAAATGACCAATGAAAAGTTACCAGAGGGAGACTTTGTACAAAAGTCGTTTGCTTGCAAAAACACAGTCATGTAAACACAACTGCTTCACGGTTGAAACACGAATGGCACAGAGGTACCCGAGCAATCGACATTTGTACAGAGTCTCCCTCTGGTAAATTTTCTTTTTATACTATATAGAGATGGCACGCCATATTGATATAAGAGACCTAGTATCTTGTTAAAAAATGCCTAAATTCACAAATACAACAATTTATGGAAAAATATATTAATGATTTACATTTCAGACTCGAATAATGATTTAATTTGTTAGAACCGGTAATCGTTTTAGAAATTGAAAATAAAGAAAAATTTTACGAGCGTCTATTAAAAGCTGATAGATTGACCGAGTCAACATAAATAAAGGGTAAACGATTAAATGAAGTGTACGGACGAAGCGATGATCTGAATAGATCGAACCGAGTAATAAATAATTATTTTTATAACCGAATCCGTCACGTTATAGAGCCGGATCGACCCTCTTTAATTTAGCTGGGTGTTTTATTTGTGCAAACAGCCGATAGGGCAGTCCGTTTACATATTCTACCCTTGTATATATATATATATATATTTTAGACCAGAGGGAGACTGTACAAAAGTCGTTTGCTTGGGTACCTCTCTCATTCGTGTATCAACCGTAAAGCAGTTGTGTTTCCATGGCTGTGTTTCGATATGAAGGGTGGGATATGGCGTGATTTTACAGGGTGCAGAGGAATAACGCAACGCATGAGGGGTATCATGGGCGAAACAGTATACTCTGTCATGTCATCACTTTCCATCAGGTTAGCCGTCAGCTTGTTTGCCATTCTAAGTTGTATAAAAAAAAACCATTTAATCCCATATGTGCGTACGGAACCCTCGGCATGCGAGTATAACATCTGATCGGTTTTATTTATTACAAACTTTAAAACACCGTTTCGGTCCCGGCATAGAATGGGCCACCACTTCCTTTCCCGTGGGTGTCGTAAGAGGCGACTAAGGGAATTTATGGTCGAGAGATGAGCAGCAGCGTCTTAAAACATCTGTAAAAGCTTACCTGCGGTTGCCAACCCTCTTGCCAAGCGTGGCAACTACTGTCAAAACACTCCTTATGGGGAAGGCTTATGCTTAGCAATGGACAGTTTAAATAATATGAAATAATAATAATACAAACACTTAAATGCCTTGTCTTCCCTCTCATAATAATAGTTTGGATAAACTGCTCATACCTTTATGTCGCGTGATTTGTTGATATACATATTCTTTCTTTCCTAAAGTTTTTTTTTATCGATATAATAAAATCTTATCACGTCTACTTATTTAATAAGCTGTCTGTCTGTGAGCGGCGGCTTCGGAATTGTTATTGAGACCGTAATGAGTATCTTGTCGCCAATAAAAGAAGTAATTTTGGTTCCTTGATATTTTTCACAATTTATTTCACTCGTCGTCTCGTCTCCTTCCATATTTTTTATGATAATTATTCTAATGAATTTTATTAATATTGTATTGTTACTTTTAAGAATGGAAACATGAATATTCCAATATATATATACATATACATATATATATTTATTGACAAGTATAAATTTATTACAGCAGAAGTTATTATTTTATTTATTAATTTATTTACACTTTATTGCATCAAGTAAAAAGAGAAATAACAAATACAGTAAATATTAATGAGAAGTGATACAAAAGGCGGCTTTATCGCTAAGCAATCTCTTCCAGACAACCTTTGGGTAGAGGACATTGAGAAAAAGACAAAGGGTAGGTGGCGCACTATTATATAAATATTATCATATACAAACATACATACATACATACATACACACATACATAAATACACATATAATATATACACAATTAAATATATACATAACATACACATACTTAACAGCACACATACAACAGAAAAAAAATTACGAAGGAAAACAAAAAGAGAACACAGGAAAATAGTACTAAAGTGAGAGGTAGTAGGATTTAACAGAGGTTTTGAAGCTAGTAAGAGTTTGAGCGCACCGATTATTATCAGACTTGTAAATACAAGTATATAATTATATATTTATTTATTGTATAGTAATTAATATTTTTACTTTAGATATTATTCTTATTTATTTAAACCTTACTGCACAGTAAAAGTATGTACATATGGCGGATTTAACACTAGACAATTTTCCTTACCAGTCAACCATTAAACAACATACATACATACATACATACATACATACATACATACATATATACATACATACATACATATCTGTCACGCCTGTCTCCCATTAGGGTAGGCAGAAACAATGGAACGCCAAATGCTTCGATTCAAACAAATCATTAAACAAACCGAGAAATAAGTAGGCAGTGAATTATTGAATTAAGGAAATGTAAAAAATAATATGTAAGTACTCGATTATCTATATATAATTACTGATATTACATGTGAGTTGATTTGTTTGTTATCTTAAAGCGCTTTAACATCTTAACCAATGACTCTTAAAGGTATACAAGTACTGTGTGGAATGGCGAAGGCTACAGGCTACCTTTTATCTCAGTCAGATATCTTAGTCACGATGACTAAATTGTTGGTAAAAGCTAGTATATAATAGACTTTAAACAAATTCTTTTGTTATTTAAAAAACATTTTACAAGCAAATTCGTAGTTTTCTTAGGAAAATTTCGAAATACATTTGAACGCATTGACTGGGATATGTTATTATTAATTTTAATATACATTACACGGATTAAACAAATGGAGAAAATAAGCTGGAGGGATCGAATTAGCAATGAGGAGGTCCCGCTTAGGGTTAAGGAAAAAAGACAAATTATTAGAACTATTGAGGACAGAAGGGGAAAAATATTGGGACACTTGATACGACACGACAAACTTATGAACATTATAATAGAAGGTAAGATAGAAGGACATCAGGCAGATCAAGGAAGGAGTTGGTGTCGTGTCGTATCAAGAGGTGAAGAGACTCGCTAAACATCGTAGTGAGTGGTAAGAGCTCTACCAACAAGAGAGCAGCTCTTAAATAGGATAGATAGATAGGATTAGACAACAAGTGAAAATTAACACGAAAATTTACTAGTCAACTACTACTAGTTTCAAGGTCGTCTTTACTACCATTTTTAAAAAATTATTTAAATAAATAAATAAATAAAAATAAATCATGCATCGACAATAGTATTTTAAAGCTCTTTGTTTTTATAAAATACATTCAGCTCTCGTTACAGCAAGAATTTGAAATATGTGCATTAAAATGTTTACAAGAGCACAATGGTAACAAAGAACCTTGGTTGGCTTGTTTGCATACATATGTATGTATGTATAAAGGCTTCTGCGCCTTTGTTGCATACATACGCAATTAATAAGTCAGCTACCAATTAAATTTTACGCTTGGCTGCTTGGAAAAAAATGGTAAAGGCTCTTGGGATGCTTAAAGGGATAAGAAAACGCCGCTGGGAACGCCTTTACGCTTGGCGATGCGAAAACATTTTCACTTTAATCAGTAGGTAGGTAGGCCTCGCCTAAATGACGTTCAAAGTACAAAACCGAATGTTAAATTTAGTAAGTATTGAATAAATATTAATTGGTAGGTTCGATTGAAGCTTCTAATAATATAGAGGATGGATTTCTAAATGTTTACTGAAGATGAAAGGGGATTAAATCTAAATATTGGGATTAAGTAAGCAGTTTTTAATAGGATCAAAATAAAATGGTAACTCTGCCCTCAGTGTTAGTGTATAAACTGGCAGGATATTGGAAGGATAGGTGAGGATGAAAGCAGGTTACTTGGTCAATAATGACGAATTCATAAAGATTATCCAAAATGGTTTCCAGGATGAACCACGTGGAAGTCGACCTGGTAGGTCGGAAAGTATCAGCCCAATTTCTAGCAATATAGCTAGAAATTGGGTTGATACTTTCCGTTATTAACAATTTATTCTTCTCTAAATGCAATGAACAAATAGCGAAAACTCCTCTGTCCCATTCGTGTTTCTATCGTGAAGCAGTTGTGTTTGCATGGCTGCGTTTCGGTTTGAAAGGTGGGATATAGCGTGAATTTACAGGGTACAGAGGAATAACATTTAAGTCTTTAGGAATGG